ATTATGGACAAAGAAAGTGTCAAATAAGACTCAGAACCCTAATTTAGATACCATATTTGGATATTTTCAATTGTACCTAAGTCTATAAATTAATATAACAATAAAATTCCACACAGACATCTTTTAAGGCTGAATTAATTCGTCATTCGCATAATTACCAATCAAATATGAACATTTTATCAAAATAAAAACATTGCTTCTGGTGCTTTAATTTTAATTTGAACCAAATTACATTTTTGGCTTTTTTATAGGCCTCATTTATTAAAATGAATTTATTGTTAGTCTATGTAGATGAGCTGCTCTAATGCAGCCTTTCTGAAACTGGGTCAGTGGAACACTCTTGCAGGAGAGCATGATCTTGTGACGCCCTACCAGCATTCACCCAACAAGGAGGGGAGGAAGGTCACGGGAATAACATTTAATTCAAAAAATGTGACACGTTATATTGTCCTCTGGTTGAGCCATAATTAACATCAGTACATTAACATTTCTGGAAAGAGCTGCAGTGAAGAAACTTGGTACACTCAGGCAGGGCTGGGCACATAGTAGGTGTTCTTTATATATTTCACAAATTAATGAGTTCTGTTTAATCCATTTTTTCTTGGACTTATTTGACCATAGAACCCTCTTTTATTCCTAATAACATCCCACAACATTATCGCTTGACAGACAAGTACTTTAATAAAACATTGCCTTACATGTCTATTAAATGTCTATTATCCAAATCTTACAGAAGTGTAGTTTGGCAAACAGCTGTTAGAAAATACTAGACCAGAGTGTCTCTCAATAGTGAATGAAGAAAATGTCAATTCATCCTGTTCAATACGGAACCTATTCACACAATAAATTCGCTCGCTTAAATTCTCAACCCAATGATGTTGTCTTTGCTTCTGTACTCTCCAGTGGGCCTTGGAGTCTTTCATGTTTTTCTAACCATGAAAGCTCTGTTTTCCGACGGCTGAGGAGCTTCATGATGAGTATGAGGATCCCACCCAGAACATTTAGCTATTTCAAGGAAGACTGATAGCAATCGACCTGGATCACTTTTGAGCTCATTTACATTAGTCTTTATTTTTAACAAATATTTAAAAAGTGTCACAAAGTGACATCTTTGTAAGCATGGCTGCAAAAACTGTGGTGAACTGTTAAGAAGGGTACTCCAATGAATATGTTGTAAAGAAAAAGGTCTACCACCAATTTCAGTCCTGCACTGCATATGTTAGATAAAACAGAGAAAAATAACTGTACAAAAGTATATCAGTTTTATGCTTGATGACAACTGTTCTATGAGCTGCACAAACTAAATTAGACATACTCTGAGAGCTACCACTAACGAACTTGCTATAAAGAAAATGAACATTCTTTATCAGGTCATGTTTTTTAAATCAGGTGTTTAATTTGAGTTTCATCAAGCAGCTTACTTTGCAGAGTCAGGCTCATGCTGCGCTCCACGGCCCCAGCTTCATTGGTGGCGACACACGTATAGTCCCCAGCATCTTCATTCTATGGAAATAGCAGTATTTTTATAAAAACATGATCCTACAGAGCAGGGCAAATTACTTTTTTCACCATGATGCTGATTTATTTGAAATTTCATTTTTGAGAAGGCATTTTAATGGAAATAGGAAAATCTACATATATCTAACCGCATAAATAGGATTAAGGAAGGAGGAGGAGGAAGAAGAAGAGGAAGAGAAGTGGGAAGGAGGAGAAAAAGAAATTCCAAGCCTAAACTTTTTGAAAATGGCCTATCATTGATCTCCAGGAGTAAAAACTGGTAGGAAACCGAAGCAAAAATAACATTATTCTATAATCTATCTGAAATTATTGT